TCAGCAATGCCTTAACTGCTGAATATGCTGCAATTCAATGTCTAGAAACAGATTATTTCAAGTTATAATTGCATGTTTGGAAGCTTTTTGATATGGACATGAGCAAATTTAAATCCATAAAACCATTCTCTTCTTCCCAATATTAATATTGTAATCTCACATGTACCTAGTACTCCAATAAACCAAATTTGAGAAACTATTTGTTGGCTGCTAGTTCCAGTGTAAGGAGCATTGTTTGAATGCCTGCAAGTGTAGGAACTAATTTACTCTAAGAAGGGCAAAACAAAGAATAGGTATAAGCATGATGTACTTGAAAGGTATTGAAAAGTCTAGCTTAATTGGAATGGAAAGGAGTTTTATCTTAAACTTTATTGGGAGAGAAGGTAATTTACTCAGCCAGGATTTTAGTGGAGGGCTTGACATGCTTGGCCAAGGTTTTAGTGCTTCACACTCTAAGCAATACAATTTGTTGCAATGACTGTGTTTTATGAAATTGTTCTGAGATAGAATGCAACTGTATTAGAGAAAAAAGGGCCTCTTGGAAAGAAGATAAAACAACTGAGGTGATCAGAGTCCATCCTGGGATGATGGAATGAGAACTGAACTGAAGGAATGAATGAATCTTGAATCAATGGAATTTTGTCAGGGGATGTACATAGAAATGAAGGTGATGATAAAGTAATGCCTATGTGTTGCAAAGTGTAAAGGAATGAATTTAATTAAGCACCTACTATATATTTCAATTAAATCTCATAATAATCTGATAAACTTAAGAGGAAGATTTTATTATCCATATTTTCTTAGACATGTAACTGAGATGATATGAGTAAGGCTGAATAGTTCTTCTGGTAAGAATAGTCATGTAGTCACTCAATTTTCTCTGCAGCAGCTTGGCAGAGGTTATGACATCAATAGCTATGGGTTTTAAAGAGGAATTTCTGCTTGAACATTCATCTACACTAATAAAAGAGAAATATGTAAATTTACCATACCTTTGTGATGCCCACCAGTCAATCAGAGGTGAGTATGCAAATTAACCCAATAAGATTGTGGGTTAATTTGCATACACAGGTGTCAGGCTGTGGTTTTATGGAGGGGGATGCACTGTGCCAGGCACTCAGGGCCTCTAGGTTGTGTGCGGAGGGGGCCGGAGGGGAAAATGGTGGTGCCAGCAGCCAGGGAAAGGAAGACCCATTCTTGCACGAATCTTCATGCATCGGGTTTCTGGTATGAGATGATTAAACATTTCTGCTGGCTAGATTTCTTCTGAATGATTACATGACTCACTGTGCATTGAGAAGCATTGTTAGTTTACTACTTTGAAATAAATCTGTTTTTGTTTTAATTATCTAAGTTAAATATATCTGCAAATAAATTCCCAATCAATACAATATTATTAAGCTGACATGAAGTTTTCATATAAAATATTTGATCAATCATAGTAAAAGTTTGAGGTATCTTGTTATAGATATATAAAAGTATAGAAAATAAATATTATCAAACTGTCATCACAAGAAGTTAACAAGGAGAGGATGGCCAAAGATGTAGAGAAAAGAGTTTTAGTAGCTGTTTTAGTAATTAATTCATAAAAATATTTATGTCATCTCTCTAGATAATGAGATGTTCATGGTACTTGTCAGCATTTTAATTAGTAATTTATTGTGATTTTTTTCTTATTCTAAGTAGTAATAAATAATTTTGATCTAATTATGTTTTTAAAATTCTGTAGTATTTTCTATAGATGTCCCTTGAATTAGTTACTAATTGTTGCATAACAGATTAAAACACATTTATTATCTCACAGTTCTTTGATCAGGATTCAGGGCATGGCTTAGATGGGTTCTTGGCTCAGAGTCTAGTAAGGTGGCAATCAAGGTGTCAGCTGGGCCAAAACTGGTTTGGATCAGTGGATAGAGCGTCGGCCTGTGGACTGAAGGGTCACAGGTTCAATTTCGGGCAAGGGCATGCATCTTGGTTACGGGCACATCCCCAGTGGAGGTGTGCAGGAGGCACCTGGTCTATGTTTCTCTGTCATCGATGTTTCTAACTCTCTATCCACCTCTGTAAAAAAATCAATAAAATATATATATTTTAAATTATGTCAGCTGGACTGTGCTCATATCTAGAGGTCTGAAGAGGGAAGAATCTCCCTCCAAACTTACTAGTACTTTGGTGCTATCACAAAGATCTGACCTAAAAGGCAGGGAAAATGTTTATAATTACAATAAGACTTCACTGAATATCACTGATAGCTTCCTGGAAACTGTGACTTTAAACAAAACAGCCCTTACTTAACAAAATTTTTTATTATAGATTAATTGATATAAACAACTTATTTCTGGTCACAAAAAAACATCACCAAAACACTTCTCATGTTAAACATTTAAATAAAATCGAGTTACACATTCATTTAAGAAAGATTGATAAAAACCAGCAAGATCATAATTGCCTAAAGAGGTCAAGGGTAGCTGGCACCTATCTGACAGCTTATGTTGCAAGACAGAACCCACCCCTGAAAGGGACATCCTTCCATTGCAGGACCCACTCACACCCCCCGGACTCATCGAGACTCAGACAATTTGGACACACCAGTTCACCTCATACTAATATGTAATAGTATGTACATCTTTGGGCTATAGGAGAAAACCAAAGAACCCAGAAAAAAACCCACACAGACATGGGAAGAACATACAAACTTTACACAATGGCCTGGCAGAAAATTATTTTCTCTCTCCTCAATGTTATAATGAAATGACTTTGAACTAAAAATTTTTTCAAGGGCCTTTTGTACAGTCAACTTGAAGGTATATGAGACATATTTTTACATCATAAGGGATTGCCTTCATCCCACTATCTTTCAACTAAGGTTTTGACAAATTTTTCCCCCATAGTTATTCTGTATGGCAGATCCAGGTGCCCAGATCCTCATACATTTTTCTTTTTCTTGTTTTAAAATATATTTTATTGATTTTTTTATAGATGGAAGAGAGAGGGATAGAGAGTTAGAAACATCGATGAGAGAGGAACATCGATCAGCTGCCTTCTGCACACACACACACACACACACACACACACACACACACACACCCCACACACTGGGGATGTGCCCGTAACCAAGGTGCATGCCCTTGACTGGAATCGAACCTGGGACCTTTCAGTCTGCAGGACGACACTCTATCCACTGAGCCAAACCTGTTTTGGCAATCCTCATACATTTTCCATTGTTTTTTTTGTTTTGTGTTTTAAATATATTTTTATTGATTTTTTACAGAGAGGAAGAGAGAGAGATAGAGAGTTAGAAACATCAATGAGAGAGAATCATTGATCAGCTGCCTCTTGCACACACCAACTGGGGATGTGCCCGCAACCAATGTACATGCCCTTGACCGGAATCGAACCTGGGACCTTTCAGTCCTCAGGCCAACGCTCTATCCACTGAGCCAAACCGGTTTCGGCCATTTTCCATTGTTAAGAGGATCTTTAGGTAATGTCTACCTTAACCTGTTTCTTTTTAATCTCTGAACCGATGCAGTATATAAAAATTATTATAGGAGTATGCACTCTAGCATGCTTTCTGGCTCTACCGCAACTTACATAAGCTTGATTTTGGACATTACAGTGCCAGTATGAAATATCATCTCCTTTCATCCCTATTTCTGGGCCAGTAGTTTATCCCAAATAGCTAGTAAATATCTAAATGGATGTGGATAATAGGTGCTGAGAGCGAGTCAGATGTAATGTTTGTGCAGGGGTGGGGTGAACGAGAGGCTAGTGGACACTGGATAATAGAAAACTGCCTGTCGCTGTGATGGTCCGAGGCACTGATATCCAGTCACAGTGGGGAAAATGCATCCTCCAGCATTGGCCTAATAATATGGTCTTTTCCTGGGATTATAGTGTTTTGGAGCCACTAGTACTCTTTCTTGACATTTTTATTAGCTTTACTGGTAGTGGAAATGTCACTCACCTAACTATCCAAATACACCTGTATTTTTTGCTTGAACTTCCGAATAGCTTGGTTTAATTTAGACCCTGCTGTGACCAAGGCTACATCTGCAGCTATACAATCACTTCTGAAACAATGTAGGAATCATTCTGATTATAATCTTCCTGGAACTGAATAGCTATAATTGAGTCCAAGACAGAGAAGAGATGATAAAGTCTAAAAATATTAGTCATTCTCTGGGTAAACAATGGAACTGCTTGGGATTTTATTCCACAGGATTGGAGGAAATTGGGAGGGGGGAAAAACACACACAAAATCTGGTTGGATGATTAAAATTTTCAACAATTATTCTAACAAAAATTGCAGAAAGAGTATTTTTACTTTGTAATAAACACAAAATAATAAAATGTCTAGAAGTAATTACCTGGGAAATCTCCTTATTTTGCTAGCAAGTCACGCTTGCCATTGATATTCCTCTGCATAGAGAACTAGTGTGATCTCATGTTCATGGTCTCTCCAGCAATCATCAAAAACAATGCTATGTCACAGATTTGTCTCTTAATTGGTGCTCTTTTCTCCTATTAGTTCTCCTTCTTCTGCTCACTTCAGAACACAGTTCTCAACGGATTCTCAAAATAAGTAAATGTTTAGTGTTGCTGTCTAAAGGCATATTTTTTTTCATTACCCTCAAATAATTAGAAATATTTAAAATAAAATTACATAAAAATTAGATATGTACTATTTGAGCAAACTCAGAAATTATAAATCCATAAGTACTGTTTATAAAGTTTTCTGTGAAAACAAGAAGTCTAACTGCAAAGGCAATGTGCCTAAAATTTATAATTTAATTTGGCAAAAGTCACAAAGGTCAATGAAAGCATCTTTTATTTTATTTTTTAAATATATTTTTATTGATTTCAGAAAGGAAAGGAGAAGGAGAGAGATATACAAACATCAATGAGAAAAGAGAATCATTGATCGGCTTTCTCCTGCATGTGCCACACTGGGAATGGAGCCCACAATATAGGCATCTGCCCTGACCAGGGAATCATACGGTGACCTTCTGGTTCATAGGTTGATACTCAACTGCTAAGCCATGCTGGCCATGTTGAAACCATATTTTAAATGTAACTTATGCAGGTGGTTCATTTAAAAAAATAGTTTTATTACTCCTTTGAGCAGTAACAGTTTATACTTTAACCTATTTTTTTTAAAGTTAACCATTAAAGTACAAGTATTGCTAAGTTAGTTCTATAGATGTTTGGAATTCAACTAACTTAAGACAAAAATATGCTTATTTTTATTTCACTAGGGTGAAAATTACAGAGTAATTGCTTTGAAGACTTCTCTCTATAATTAACATTGCAGATTGAACCCTGCTAAAGGTTCTTTACCTGTGGGTCATAACCCACAGGTTGAGAACTGCTGCTATAGAACATTGGAAAACACAGATATTTACATTTTGATTCATAACAGTAGCAAAATTACAGTTATGAAGTAGCAACAGAAATAATTTTATGATTGGGAGTCACCACAACATGAGGAAGTATATTAAGGGGTTGTGGCATTAGGAAGGTTGAGAACCACTGGTTTAACACATCATGTAAAGGCAATAGAAGTAATGGAGTGACTGCTCTAAGCACAACTGCAAGGATGCAGGATTAAAGATGCTTGCTACCACCCTAGGCACTGGAAATAAACAAACAAAATTGAAAGAAGGCACTGCAAAACATGATACCCACAGAGATGCAGGTTTAGTCATATAATTTTATTGTAAGTCAAGGTAAAACTAGAATTATCTAAGTGTAATGCATAGTCCTTGAACACTTAAGCACGTGAGTTGTAAACAGAGCTTTGGCTGCTTTGAGTGTATGCTTGAGTCATGGTTTGGGATTAAAAGGTGAAATGGGGAGATAGGATTGCTGGTTATTGGAAGGTTAAGGCTGTATCTGACGGTGTCTTGAATTAAGTGGCAGGTGGATAGGATGAAAATATATTTAAATATATACGTTAGAGGTAGAATCAATAAGAAATAGTACTAACATGATTGTTTCCGCTGAACAAATGGAATGCATGAAGATTCCTCAGGTCTGGTGGCATTTAATGAGATAGGGAAAACTGTGGGTAAAGATCAGGCTTTCTGACATTTCCTGGTTAATCTCAAGGAATTTATTAAATACCCAGTAGAAGATTAAACATCTGATGTGAAATAGGTGTACAAAACTAGGTGGTGGCTGCAAAGCTAAAATAACTAGGCTCACTACTGTGCCAAGTTTTGTAAAACACAGAAAGGACGTATTTTAAATTTCCAATATGCTTCCATAGCATTATATTCATACCTTACATATCGTTTTTCACTCTATTACATTTTATCTGTTTACTGGAATTCTTCAACCATTAAAATGTATTCTTTTGAGGCTTGGCGATCTTTGTGTCAATAACACTAGGCCAAAGTCTGACCTACAACAGAATTTTCATAAATGCTTATGAATGAATGATTCTAGTTTGAGGTGGAAAGTGAAAAAGTAAAATAATCCCACATATAAGAAAATGGATTATAATGATTTAGTTATGTGACTCAGTCCTTAAACTGTACATAATAAGCCCGGTGTATTCAGAGTATGGTAAGAAAATTCATTGCTGAGGCATGATAGCAAGCATTAGAAGGAGTTTATTTGTACGGAATTCAAATTCACCATAATGTATGACACGTCTCAGAGGACAAAAAGCATTCACAGTTGAGAGAGGGATTGTAAAAATTCTTTTACTCTGATTATCAAAGCAAGACCTTTTCCTCTACTTTTATTATTTATCTATGTAGATTACACAGAAATGTGTAAAGTTCAGTGTAATATCATACAATTAGTCATCAGCAGCAAAAATGATTTAATTGTGAATGGGAAGAAACTGCTAATATCTATTTCAAAGCATGAGTCTTTAGTGCTGCATATTGGAAAGAATGTTCTTTAATAAACCACTAGTGATGCCAGTAATTAGGATTCTTTAATAGAACCGTCAAGAATCCCCAGTTAAGGATGATGTACAATGTTAGTTTTTGATAGATGGTTTTGATCAAATTAGGAAAGTGCCATTCTATTCTTAGATTGCTAAAACTTCTTTTATTAAATTGGGAATTGTTGGTGATTGCACTGTACATTTTGCATAATCTATGAGGCTGATAATTTTCTTTTTATCTTTTAGACTTTTAAGATAATACATCATAGCATTATTATATATTCAAATATTGACTCAATTTTGCATTGGTGGGTTAAACTCTATTTACTCAAAATGCATTAATGTTGTGATATATTGCTGTTTGTGTAACGTTTTATTTAGAGTCTTTGCATGCACATTCATAAATTACATTTAACCATCGATAAGGTTTTTATTTAGACTTACTCTCTGCATAATAATGATAATGAGATTATGCTAGCTTCATAAAATAATTTGAAAGTGTCCTGGCCAGTGTAGCTCAGTTGGTTGGGGCATTGGCCCATATACTGAAAGATTGTGGGTTCCATTCCAGGTAAGGACACTTACCTAAGTTGTAACTTCAATCCTGGGTCAGGGTGCACCTGGGAGGCAATTGATCAATGTTTCTTTCTCACATCAATTTCTCTCTCTCCCCCAAACCTCTCTCTAAAAATATAAATAAATGCCCAGTTGGTATGGCTCAGTTGTTGAGCATCCAGAAAGTCACAATTTCAATTCCTGGTCAGGGCACATGCCAAGGCTGTGAGCTAGATCCCCAGTGTAGAGTGTGCAGGAGGCAGCCAATGAATGATTCTCTCTCATCATTGATGTTTCTATCTCTCTCTCCCTCTTCCTTCCTCTCTGAAACCAATAAAAAATATTAAATATATATATATATCCTTGGGTGAAGATTTAGAAAATAATAAAAATTTGGAAGTATTCCAATCTCTATATATAAAAGCCTAAGCAACCAGTTGACATGCTGGTAGTTATGATACATAATAACCACTGGGGGAAGACACTCAACAACACAGGAGATGACAAGCAACAGCAACTTTGCAGAGTGACCCCTCACACTCCGGGCCCCCTCAGGAGCTGTCAGACTGCTGGTTTTGACCCCATCCCACAGGCCTGGCCAAGAGAGCCTACCTGTGGGAGAGACCCTGCTCACTCTGCAGATGCCACTTGAGTACCAGTGTGGCCCCAGTTGTGGCCCACCAAGGAGGAACATCAAGAGGTTGGCTCCAGGGTATGTTTGGCTCATCTGGTCCATTCACGTCTCATTGGTTACCTTCTATTTAATTTCCTCTCAATGTGCAGGAATCTGTGCACCAGGCCTCTAGCCCTATCTAATAAATAGGGAATATGCTAATTGACCTTCAAGCTGTTGCAAAGATGGCAGCACTCATAGCAATAAGGGAGGAATATGCCAATTGACTGCCATGCCCTCAAAGATGGTGGTGCCCATAGCCACAAGATGGTGGAACCCAGTCCCCTCAGCCCTGACCACCCCCCCCCCAGTCCCTTCAACCCCCAGCTGTCCAGAGCCAGCCCAAGGAACAGGCAAGGCTCAGATGGCAGCTTCCTAGCTGCCCAGGGCCACCTGAGGCTCAGGTAACCAGAGCTAGCTGAGGCTTGCACTACTGGCAGTGGCAGCAGCAGAGGTGTGATGGGGGTGTTGCCTTCCCCTGATCACTGGGTTGCCCCCCTCCTCTGAGGGCTCCCAGACTGTGAGAGAGGGCAGGCCAGGCTGAGGAACTTCCCTCCACCCCCCAGTGCATGAGTTTTCATGCACAGGCCTCTAGTTTTAATATAATAGAGAAATTTAAATAATATTGAGATTATTAAAATTTTTAATAGAATTTGCAGTAATATTATTACATAATGGTTAAGTAAGTAATAAAGTGATGCTTTAATATCTTTTATAGTTTTTGGCCTCCTCAAGTAGTTAATTCTTGAACCAATTTTTTTCTTGTGATAAAATTTTACAATTTAGTGTAATAAAATTGTATATGAAATGATCTTGTAACAATTTAATGTCCTCTCACTTCTTTGTAGATTTTTTAAATATATATCTAGTGTTGTTTTGTGTGTTTTTTCTTTTTATCTATTAATTGAGATTTTTAGATGTATACCAAATTTCATGGACATTTTTCAAAATGATATTGCTCTAAATTTATGTGATCTATTATAATCGGTTCATAATTGAATTATTAACTTTATTAACTTTTTTCTCCTTTTCTATATTTTATATGTTCCTAGCTTCTTGACTTGCATTTCTGACTTATTTACTTTTAATGTTTTTAGATATTAACTGTCTATATTAAAATTCACTCCCTTGCAAAATACCCCAAATTTCTATTACTATCTTTCCAGCTATTATTCTGATGGGTAACCTATCTGAATGAAGGTAACCCTCCTCTGGTTCAGTGATTGCTCCTGGAGCAAGTAAATTTTGCTGATGTGAATCACATCAATTGGAAAAAATAAATGTTCTTATTTAATTCACATGTCTGGGCAGAAATTGTCAGCATACAGTATTGCCTCATTATCCTTTCATATATCTGTTATGATTGTGTGTGTGTGTGTGTGTGTGTGTGTGTGTGTTTGTGTGTGTCTTTATATTGTTTAATTTCCTCACTCACAATGGGAGTTCTGTTATTTTATCATTTTTATTTTTATTGAATTCATTGTGCATTGTGGTGATACATGGTGATTATATATATATATATATATATATACACAAAGAGAGAGAGAGAGAGAGAGAGAGAGAGAGAGAGAGAGAGAGCGAGAGAGAGAGAGAGAGAGAGAGAGAGAGAGAGAGAGAGAGAGAGAGAGAGAGAGAGAGAGAGAGAGAGAGAGAGAGAGAGAGAGAGAGAGAGAGAGAGAGAGAGAGAATTTGAAAATTAGGCCTGGATACAGTAAAAGGTCACAACGGGACAGGAAAAGGTTGTACAAGCCCGTGAGGTCTGGAGCAGAGACGGAGACAGAGACAGGGGGCCTGCCCAATCCGGCCTGGCAGCTCTAGCAGCCCTGGAGCAGACAGGGGCACCTGGGAACACTGCGAGTCAGGTGCGGGTCCTGCCCCCATAGGGTGCCTCCTTGCATGGCAG